CATGATATACCTTGTCTTAAACAAGGGTTTCGATATGGTCTCCCACAGCATTCTTGCAAGCCAGCTAAGGAAGTATGGGTTGGATGAATGGACTATAAGGTGGATAGAAACCTGGCTGAATTGTCAGGCTCAGTGGATAGTGATCAATGTCTTGAGGTCTAGTTGGCAGATGGTATCAAGTGGAGTGCCCTAGGAGTCATTCTGGGGGCTGGTTTTGTTCAATATCTTCATCAACAAGCTGGAAGATGGGATGGAGTGCACTCTCATTGAGTCTGTGAATGACAACAAGCTTGGGGAAGTAATAGATAGACTGGAGGGCAGGGCTAGGATTCAGGATGACCTAAACACATTGGAGGATTGGGCCAAAAGAAATTGCATGAGATACAACAAGGACAAGTGCAAAGTCCTGCACTTAGGATGGAAGAATCCCATGCACTGCTACAGGCTTGGGACCACCTGGCTAAGCAGCAGCTCTCCAGAAAAGGACCTGGGGATTACAGTGGAAAATAAGTTGAATATAAATTAAAAGCGTGCCCTTGTTGCCCAGAAGGCTAACAGCATACTGGGCTACATTGTAGAAGCATTGCCAGCAGATCAAGGAAAGTAATTATTCCCCTTTATTCTGCACTGGTGAGGCCACACCTGGGCTTAGAGATGTGAAGCCCTGGAAAAAAAAAAACAGAAAAAATCATAAAAATACTGGGTTTTTTCTGTTTTTTTTCTGAGGACTTTTTTTGTTTTTTTCTGAAAAAATTGGAAAAGTGGAAAATTTTTGGAAAAATTAAAAAACCTCTTATGAAATATTTTCTTTTAGAATGATTAATAAAATGTTTAAGACAAGGTGTTCATATACTGCTACACTTTACTCCCCCAAAATGCTTTCTAATAACTATGTAATAGGAAGGCTTTTATGTAAGACTATCTACAGTACCAGATCATTACAATTCCTGTACACCGAGGACAAGCAGTACAGTTCAACTCTCAAATGCAAAAGCAAAATGCATTTCTCCCCCAGGGGGCACTGCCATTTTCACAAGAGAAGGAAGAAGGATTCAGTGCCGCCTTTGCTTGTGGACTTCCTCTATTGGTGACTTTTGATCTAAAGGTTGGTGGATCTGCTCTGTCCTCCTAACTAGGCCTCAAAGCATAGGTGACGCATAGGAGGGAAATGGGCAGCATATACCCCCCAAATTAGCCCTCGATGGCTAGGGAGTGGGGAGCGCTGGCAAGTGCCCCCAGGAAGTGCCGGAAGCACCTCCAGTTTTTCTGGTGGCACTTCCGGTTTGCCACGATCGCTTCTGGGGCCAGCGATTGGCCGCTGGGGGACCCCCCCCACCCTGATCGGCAATCAGCCACTGGTGCCCTGCCAGAGCCAGGAGGCACCAGTCACCCATGCCTCAAAGGACTGGGAGTAGACACTGGCAGCAGCATCCATTCATTCCTGTAGAGATCAAAAACAAGGAGCTTACTGCCCTCCTTGCTCAAAAGCCTCAGGAGAGGAGACAGAGCAAATCTAAAGGTTTTGGAGTTGGAAGAAACCTGCCTCCTTCTGGCCCTGTGACACTGAGATCTACAGAAGTACAGAAACAGCACAAAGGAGCTGAAAGAAAGTATACTTCTTTATTGAAAGGGAAGAGTTTAGAGTTCTCTGAATTTAGTATTCTAATATTATAAAAGCCTAAGTCTGTCTGTCTGTCTGTAACGCTTTATTCATGCTCTGATTGACTGACAAATACCCAATCAGGGCACGAAGAAGCATTCTGACAGAAGGCAGCCCACTGCCATGATAGTGGAGACACAGGGAACAGAGCAGGGGGGGCAAGGCCAGCACAGCCTAACCCTAACCCCCCCGCACTGATCCCTGAAGGCAGCAGCAACCGAGCGGATGGAGGGGGGGAAAGCCAGTAGGGCTGGCTTTGCCCCCCCCGCCCTGCTCCCTGCAGGTAATATGGGGGGTTGGAGTGGGCCCGAGTCCAATGTGGGGAGGAAGCAGGCCCGAGCAGGGGAAAAGCCAGCCCCCCACAGTGGAGGGGGAGGGGAACAGCAGTCCCAGCTTGATACGGCTGCAGCACTAGCTGGGGGAGGAAAGGAGCAGGCCTCCTCCCCCACATCAGACCCAGACCCACTCCTCCTTCCCCGCATCGGCCCTGAGCCTGCTCTTCCTGTCCCCAAGTGGACCCAAAATGTGGGGGGAGGAGCAGGCGCACCATGGTGTCAGTGGTGATGGTGGAGCCAGGGAAGGACTGGGCCCAGTCCCAGGCCCAACACACGGGGGGAGTGAGCCCAAGCCAGGGGAAAAGCCAGCCCACTGTGGCAGTGGGAGGGGGGGATGGACAGCAGGCCCAGCCCAGCCTGGCTTAGCCCAACACAGCAGCTGCAGCGGGGGGAAGAGTGAGCATCCTCCCCCCATCAGGCCCAGGCTCACTCCTCCCCCACCCCTGGTCCCCCGTGTCTGCCCTGAGCCCTCTCCTCCCATCCCCCCTCCAGGTCGGCCCAGGCCCACTGCTTTCCCTCTGCACCTCTGTTGTAGCAGCCTGGCTTCTCCCCACCCTCAGGCCCGGTCCTCCCCTGCATCCAGCCTGGGCCCGCTCCTCCCTTCCCCCCACCGCTGCAGGCCCCCAAGCAGCAGGAGGGAAGGGAGAGTGAGTTCAGAGGTGGGGGGCCCAGGGCTCTGTCCCCGCTCACTCCCCGCCGCATCATTCTTGATGGGTAATTGGCTTGTATTACTATATTTTAGCTACATTAGTGTATTTTCATAACCTGTGTAATTCATAATTGAATTCCTGCTAATCTGATGTTTTGTGACAAATCACCCAAGCTTAGCAGTGAGAGCAGGGAAGTTGTTTACAGTTATCTCTGAGTTTACAGTTAACTCTGAGGACGCCTCTCCTCCATCCATTAGTAAATTTGTGCATGCTGTAGCTTAGTGTGTATATATGCAAGCTAGCCACTAAATTACATTTTTCTTTTTTCTCCCTCAGCAAAATGGTGTGACCAACTTCTAGCATATGGAAACATTTCCTCACTGCAAGTAATTCTGAGAAAAAAATGTGATTTGCAAATACTGTTGAATGAAATATGCGTTTCCAAATGCTACTAGGATAACCAAATACATCCTTGTAAGTAAGAAGTGTCCTGCAGACTTTAAAAATTCCTCATGGGTGTAAGTAAGGAGGAGGTAGATCATGATGATGAAAGTCCAAGTAGCTCTTTCCAATGTTTTCAATTCAGAAGTCTTCCTACTCCTGCTGCTGCTGCTGCTTCTATAATATCAGTATCACAAAGGGTTCCCCAATCAACATCTTCAAGTAACCAAATATTGCAACCAAATGTATACAAAAAAACTTACACACAGATGGACAAATGTGCGGAGAGAAGGAATCATAAACTTTGTGATAACAACACCTCAACCAGTTTTTTACCAAAGCACAGAAACAGGGGAGAACAGGCATACTGCAAAGTATATCAGTAGTAAAATATGTGAAGTACTACAGAAGATTGGGAATGGTAAAGTATATGTTTTGCTGACTGACAATGCAAGTAACATAAAAGTAACATAAAAGCAGCATGGGAGATCACAAATTACTGCAATAAGATGTGCAGCCCATGGGCTAAATTTGCTTCTTAATGACATCATGAAGTTTGACACTCCCTGCAAAAGATCTATAGAAGAGCAAAATAAGTTATAAAACAAGTAAAAGCTACTCATATTGTAGCTGCAGTCTTTAAGAAGAAGCAGAAAGAAAAGAATGCAAAGAATCAAATAGCGACACTCAAACTCTGTAGTAAAACTAGATGGAGTGAAGTGGTGATCTCATTTGAAAGTTTACTAAAAAACAAAGAAGCTTTTCAAGAAACAGTAATAATTGAGGATGTTAAAGTACAGAGGAGTGTAAGGAACACTGTACTTGATGAAGATGACTTCTGGGTTCAGCTGCAGAACTCCCTGAAGATTCTAAGCCAATTTCTTCAGCAATCACTGCATCCATGAACACTGTATGCCCCCAGAGGCTGGGGCAGGGCCACAGTGAGCTCTCACAGGAGCGGCAGCGCTGTCGGCAGCAGGAGCGTAGTGGCAGCAAGTGGGGAGCTCCCACAGGCAGCCACGGCGCTATTGGCGGCAGGGGGGAGGGGAAGGGGAGGACTGCAGGTGCCAGTCAGCAACCACCTGCAGACACCACCAGCGGCATTGGCCAGCAGCAATCACAGACCAGCAATGACGGCGGTGCCTTTTCGCAGGGAGTGCACCACCATGCTCACGGGGTGCACGTGCACCCCTACGTGTCACCAATGACTGCATCTGAATCAGACAGTGCATCTTTGTAAGACATTCCTTACCAAATGGCCCAGATAAAATCAAATGGTTTTGAGAATCTAAGTGTATCTCTGCTTACAAATACAGAAGAAAGAAAAGTGAAAGACTGTATTAACAGACAGAAAGAATTTTGTCACCATTCGATTCATGGTGCTGCAAATCTCTTGGATCTAAGATTCAAAGGCAGAAATGTTAGTGATGATAGCACAGCTACTGCATTTGACTGGACTACAAAACATGCAACACACTTAGGACTTGATGTTGGAAAGGTATTTTCATATGTTGCAGAATACAGAACATCTTCACGTATTTGGTCCAGGAATGCAGTCTGGGACTCTGTCAAGCATTTCCCTCCCGCAACATGGTGGCAAGGCCTCTGCACAACACAGTCTCTGACTCCTCTTGCTTCTTGCCTGCTTCAGCTTCCTCCATCTTCTGCAGCATGTGAAAGAAACTGGTGTATGTTTGGAAATACTCACTCCAAAACAAGAAATAAGCTAACGTGAAAGAGTACAGAAGCTTGTCTCAATCTGGGCGACCCTTCAGTTTTCAGAAGTCCGTGAAGATAATAAAAATAAAGGATCAGAAGAAGCATAAACTGATTAAAGTTATAGCTCAGAAAATGAGACTGATTAGACAAAGTTTCATGTAGCAAAATTTGTATTCAATAAGTCTGGTGGGGGTTCCTTTTTTCTCAGCTCTTTTTCTAAAAATGAGTGCTTTCTGTATCTACTTGACACTGTGGAGGAGACTAAGTCCAGAATACATAATAAGTTTCTTTTACTATAATGTTGATGGCTTTACTATAATGTTTATAACGTTTTACTATAACGTTGATGGTTTCTTCTATTTTCAACTTTAATTTTTGCCTGCTTCTCATAAACTGGCAAAAACTAAGAGATGCTAGGTTCCTTAGAGTTCATCAAATTATAGCTCCATTTGTAACACAAATTAAAAGCATTTTACAGTAAATTCAATTAATACATTTGTAATTATTGTCTGAATAAACTATACTTTTAAATTTAATAAATATACCAAACATGATAATTTTATGAGCAATACATAATATATTTTATGTTCTTAAAGTAGCAAAGTGAATTTAGATTTGTAAAGGGTTCTAAGAAAATAAGTATTGCATATATTTCAATTTTTCCCAAAATTTCCAGGTTCTTTTGAAAAAATAAAGTTTTTCCCCATGGCTTCAAAATTTCCAGAAATGTTACATTTCTAGGAGTACTGTGTCCAGTTCTGGGGCCCCCACTACAGACAAGATGTGGACAAGTCGGAAAGAGTCCAGTGAAGGGCAATGAAAATAGTGAGGGGTCTGGAGAACATGACTTATAAGTAGAGACTGGGGGAACTGGGCTTATTTAGTCTAGAGAAGAGGAGACTGAGTGGGTATTTGATGGCAGCCTTTAACTACCTAAATGGTGGTTCCAAAGAGGATGGAGCTAGACTTACCATATTTACTCAAATACAAGATGACCTGAGTATAAGATTACTCCACTATAATTAGATTCTACACACAGAAAAATTATAAGTATATTATAATTTTCCATGTATGGAATCTAATTATTGAAGGACCATCTAAAATTTGTCCAACCCCCTGCCTCCCACTACTGCAGGTATTGAGGGGAAAGGTGATGAAATGGGCAGTAATGGGGCAGGTAGTGTGGGACAGACAGTGGGTGAGGCAGTAGTGGGGGCATGTGGTAGAGCAGGCAGAGGGCAGTAATGGGGCAAGCAGTGTGGAGGCGGTGGGCCAGGCAGTAAGAGAGGCAGGCAGCTTGTCCTCTGCTGTCTGTCCCTCACCACTTACCCCTCATTGTACCTGCCCCACCCACCACAGACTCATGTTGCCCTGATTGCCCTTTCCCCTGTTCCTTCCTCCTTCCCTCTCTACACCACTTCTCCCATCTGCAGCCTGAGATCCCCACTCTGCTTCTTCCCATCTCCCCTCAGAAAGTTTTTCCCTACCTGCCTCCCCTTCACCTCCCCTCTTATCATTTCAGGAAGCCAGCACCACTGCTAGGGATGGACTGGAGCCATGCTCCATGGTCCAGGCTACAGCAGGGATAGAGCCTGCCAGCATGGAGCAAAGGTAAGGAGAAGTGCAGCAGAGGAGGAGAGAGATACGGAAGTAGCATGGGGGGGTGGAAACTGAGGGCTATGGGGTAGGAGTAGCAGGTTGTGCAGAGGCAGCAGGGGGGGAGGTTGGGGCTGAAGCTGTAGCAGCTGCCTGTCCCCTGCCCCTCCCCACACTGCCTTGTGCTCAATTGTAAGGTACAGGGCTTCCTACTAGGGCTGTCCAAAGCTTTGGTCACTGATTTGATTTGGCAGAGATTTGGCCCAATTTGATGTGAATCTCCACATCTGAATTGAATCAGGAGGCCCTTTAATCTCTCTGAATCAAATCAGAACTTCTAAATCGATTTGGAGAGATTCAGAGAGATTCGATGATTTGGACATAGACACAGTTTTATACCTTTTTTTCTACATACCTCAAGGTACCAGGCGGCTCATGAATGCTGAGATGGTAGGGCAGATGGAGCATCCCACGGGAGTGCAGGGGGGTTCCCAGCGCTCTCGGCGGGAGACCCAGATGTGGACTAGAACCACTTCTGGTCCACTAACGGGCCCACTGCAGAGTGCGCAGGGTACACCCCCCTGCCCCACTTGGCAATTGGTGCCTCCTGGGTCTGGGAGAGGACACCCAGGGTCCCCCCGTGGCTGATCACTGAGCTGGAATATCGAGGTATGTAGAAAAAACATTTAAAGCTGTGTCTATGGCTGAATCACTGATTCTCTGAATCAGAATTGAATCTTCAGATTCAGATTTGGCTGAATCGAATCAGGATGGTGATCCAAATCAACAAATCAAATCACTGCCCCCAAAACAGGCCAAATCCGAATCAAACATGGCCCGCTTCACCCACTCCTACTTCCTACCCTATGTTAAATGTGAAGAAAAAGTGCATCTTCTAATCAAGTAAATACAGTATATAGATCACAAGCTTTCATTACACACACACCCATACATACACATATATATTTATGTATGCATATCTACATATATACATACTTAGTTTGGTTATTCTATAAGGTGCAAATCTACCCTGCCTTCTAAAAAGAAGTTGTCAGATGGCAGCATGTTTCCTTGAAGCACCTGATAACCTGGAACTGGCTCTCTATCAAGATTTGTGGTTGATTAAGATAAACTCCAAAGTTTATCTTAGTGAGTGCACATCCTTGTATAATTAGGAAATGCCCTGTAATAAAGTCATAGAAAAGTAGGGTTGGAAGGGACCTCCAGAGTTCATTTAGTCCAACCCCCTGCCTAAGGCAGAATCGCCCCTATCCAAACCATCCCATACAACCATAATCTAAATTCTGCATAAGACTACCCTCAACCCTGAAACAACACAGACCTAATACCTTAATCTATGACAGGTAAAGCAGGAGAACCATGGCAGCCAATAAAATTTTGTCAATACATGCTCAAGAGGTAGAGGGCCATTCCCCCTGCTGAAGAGGAAGGCAAAACCCCCCAGAATCCGCACCAATCTGACCGTGGTATAAAATTCCTTCCTCACCCCAAATATGGCAATTGATAGTCAGGGATAGTCAACTTTGCTCCTAGCAGGAGAATGGGCACAATCCAATTGAAGTCTCCAACTTTAGCTGTAGCCAACACCCAGTGCCTCTGGAGAGGTGTAAAAACACCCTGACACATATAGCAGAAAAAGCAGGGGGAGGCAGGGAGTGATGGTAACCAGCAACACCTAGAAGCATGGGAAATATCCATGGTAGAACACAGGCATAGCTATGCCTCGATCATCCCTGACCAGTGTCTGTCCAACCTCTTCTCAAACACCTCCAGTGATGTAGAGTCCAACTTTCCTAGGCAGTCTATTTCATTGCCTCATTATTCTCACAGTGAAGAAGTTTTGCCAAATAGCCAATCTAAATTTACTTTGCTGCAACTTCAAACCACTGATTCACATCCTCCTTTCTGTGGCAAGAGAGAGAAGGTGCTTTCCCCCTTTTTTATGGCAGCCCTTCAAGTATTTAATGACTTCTATTTTGTTCCCTCTTAAGCACCTTTTTTGCAAGCTGAACATACCTAGCTCCTTCAGCCTCTCCTCATATGCTTGCCTTCCAAGCCCTTGATCATCTTTGTTGCCCACTGTGAGGGTGTGTATCCAGGAGACATGTCATTCACTCCATTACTCCGCTACTTTGAATTCTCCCTTGTTACTCTCCCACCAAGCCTTGATGTTTAGAGGGAAAAAAGAGAAAAGAAGGGAAGTGAGATATTCAACACAGTCAGTGGTAGGACTTGAGGGCAAGCTGTTTCTTCACAGAGCTTCACCTCCCTTACATACTGCCCTTACTACTGCTATCTTGGCTCAGGCCCATGATCTTTCTTGACGTCTCATCTTCTTGTTAAATGCTAGGTGGTAATAGGCTACTGATCAGTCATTCCAATTGCTTGCCTGCAGGGGTTGTCGGTTAGCAGTCCAACCCTTGCTGACTCATTCAACGAATCAATTATTTTCGAACCCATCCATTTGCAAATCCCTCCTTGCTACTTCACTCCTTTGATCTTTACTTATACTTCCTCGATCAATGGGTTTATCATCACTGGAGGAATCCTTATTTAGACACTATCAATTAACAAGTCCATTATTGCTCGATTATTCCCAGCCTTACAGTTCCTCATTTAATGAGTTTGCCATACATCAGCTTAGCCCCTTCACAAAACACATCTAAGATGGGTTGTTTCATGGGTCACCCCTTTCCTGGTTCCCAGACCAATTAGTCAAATTTATCCCATCTCTAACACCATCACTGAACCCTTCTTTTTTGACTCACCAGTTCCGGTCCTGCTCTCTCTGCAATGGCTCTTGGTGCCATCTCTCCTGTTGAGGGGTTTATCCTCTCCCTGTCCATCTATGTCCTTGACACAGGCTCCCTGCTCTGCCTTGGTCCCCAACCCTGGCTTCCAGCTACGGCTTGGTCCCCAGCTCCAGCCTCTGGCTCTGACTAGTAGCTCTGTCTCTGCATTTCCATGCGGAGCACATGAGCTCTGAGGATCCTGTGCCTTCCCCTCACCAAGAAAACTCTAAGTATGCTGGCTTCCTCTCTCGGCTTCCAGTGGAACTCCTGGCAGCCAACAGGAGCCTGCCCTGGCTGCATGTGGCAGCAAACCACCCAGGCTAACCATGCCAGGCATGGCCTGTCTTCAGACAGGCAGCCATGCATTTCCGACAGCTGCACTGCAACCCCTGGGTCCAGAGGTAAGTTTCTGTGTGGGTTCCGATCCAGAAGGCCAGTGTGTGGTCTGAACCCAGTGCCCTTTTACACCCACTTCTGGAACCTCTCTAACTTCTCCATGGCCTTTTTACAATGTAGAGACCAGAACTGCACACAGTACTCCAAATGAGGTCTACCAGTGCTGAGTAGAGAGGCACTATCACGCCGTGTCTTGCTTCTGTTGATGCAGCCTAAAACTGCATTTGCCTTTTGAGCCTGTGGTCTTCCAAGACTCCCAAGTCCTTTTCCATAGTGCTGCCATTCAGCCAGGTGTCCCCCATTTTGTACTTGTGTTTTTTACTATTCCTCCTGAGGTGTAGCACTGTGAATTTGTCCACACTAAATTAAGAAAAACTCCTGTTAGCTCTAACCCAATTTCCCAATCTGTTGACATCCTTCTGAATTGTGCTTGCATCCTCCAACATGGTCACAAACTTTCCTAGTTTCATGTCATCCACAAACTTGCTCAAGGAAGTTTCATTGCCAGCATCCAAATCATTAATAAACATATTGAACAGCACCAGGTCCCCCTGTGGGACTTCACTCACAAGTTCCTGCCATTCTGACATGGACCTGTTAATAATTATCTTTTGCTAATGGTTATTGAGCCAGTTATCTATCCACCTTGCAGTAGTTTTATCCAGCCCACGTTTCTCCAATTTGCTTATGAGAAGGTCATGTGGAACCTTGTCAAAAGCCTTTATGAAGTCCAGATTCACTATATCCACAGCATT